GACTCTTTCTGCATGCAAAATAAGGACCAAATATAAGCACGAGAGAAAAATAAAGAGAACACAATTATTTAACAGGAACAAACGAAGTCCAAATACCATTGAGCCATAGACATATTATAGGACGGTTATGCATAACACAGAAACAAGAAGAACCCATTTTGCAAAAGATTCATTTTAGCATCTACAAAAGCTGTGTCCACTAATTTGTCGTTCTTGTGACAGGCAAAGAGAGGTATCAGTAACAGATACCAAAAATAATCATAATTAGTTGTAACAAAGAAGTACCTTTGTGGTGTAAACTTTAACCCCATTCTCATTTATATAGAACTGAAGATACATGGTGAGATAATTGTTTCACCCTGCTAAAGTAAAAGACAAAGAAAGAAAAAGATAAAACACACAAGAAGATGGAAGAGGAAAAAGCTGTCAAAGTGAGAAGCCTAGACTTGTAAACGAACCAAATAAAAACCAAAAAGCAAAACTACATAAGTACATGAAAATAAAATAAATCAAGTATGAATGGGAGTATAATCCTGAAACGAAATCCACATCTAAAAAGTAAAATGTTTAAATATACATTTTTTAAAAATGAAACTTCAAAAATTTTAAAAGTAATTAACAAACATATTACATGTCAGTATAAAAATTTCATCCAAGCCTTCCGACCAAATTTATAATCCGTTGATAATTCCAGATTCACAGAAACATATATTTGAAAGAGTATACGAAACAATCAACTTAATAATCATGTATTTCATTTCGTTATTTCTAACAACAAACTCTCCTCTTATCATAAGTTTTAGCATATGTAAATGAAGATTATGTTAAAGACATGGTGAGACATTATATAACATTCGTAGGCATGTTTGCAATCCGATACTAATCATGAACTTAAAATTTCTGTTCTTATTTCAAATAGAAGCTTACAACATGCAGCTCAAAAAAAAAAAAAAAAAAGAAAAGAACAGGGTGCTAACCAAGTTGCTCTCTCCAAAAACAGTAAATTAATTAACCAAACCCATTGCTAATATATTTCCTAGCAAGCTTCAAATAAACGTTACTGGAACAGGTAAATACCTCCTTTAAAAAAACTAATCGGAAAATTCTTAGCGGCTGTTTAATAGCCAAGAAAATGAGAGAAAAATTTGAGTCAAAAGCGTACGTTACTATTTTTTGTTTTGCTCTCCCTGGTTTTCGATTTCGATACAGCAACGAAGGAAGAAGAAGAACTAGGGTTTTACAAGAGGTTTTCAGTTGTCTATCTTTAAAGCACTAGACAATGCAGTGGGCTTGACCCAGGAAACAAACAGAAATATTATTTTGAGAAAAAGAAAAAGAAGCCCATTGAGAAAAAGAAAACCGCGTAGTTCTATTCTCTAATTGTAATTTGAAGTAACCATGAGGGGTAATATAGTAATTTTGAAACAAACCTTCCTTCCTCGCCTCTCTCTCTCCTGGTTGCGGTTGCTTGATCTTTCATTCAGTCTCTTCGAGCCCACGTCTCTGGAACTCTCGCTCTATCTGAATTGACCCCTCACCCGAAGTCACTGCCAAATTTTGGATCCCAAATCTCACCAACCAAAAACCCTAACTCACATCCGCATTGCGCATCGAAAGACAAAACATTCCAAAAAGAAAAATAAAATAAACGATGTCTTTTGAGGAAGAGGAGTCGCTGGAACACACGCTGCTGGTGGTGCGCGAGGTGTCGGTTTATAAGATCCGTCCCAGGACGACGTCAGGTGGGTACAAGTGTGGGGAGTGGTTGCAGTCCGATAAGATTTGGTCGGGTCGACTCCGGGTCGTTTCGTGCAAGGATCGGTGCGAGATCCGACTGGAGGACCCGAACACAGGGGAGCTGTTCGCAGCGTGCTTCGTGGAGCCTGGGCGAAGAGATAGCTCGGTGGAGCCGGTTCTTGATTCATCGAGGTACTTCGTACTGCGGATAGAGGACGGCGCAGGGAAGCATGCCTTCATCGGCCTAGGCTTCACCGAGAGGAACGAGGCCTTCGACTTCAATGTCGCGCTGTCTGATCACGACAAGTACGTCAGAAGGGAACTGGACAAGGAAACTGGCGCAGAGACCACCGATAACGAGAGCCACATCGACATCCATCCAGCTGTTAATCATAGACTAAAGGTAATCTGAGAAGAAGTATGACTAAACTGCTTTAGAAGTGGGTTTAATCGTGGGCTTTACATTCTTTCTGTTATATGGTAAAGAAACTGACTACTGATAGGTATTTGTAGTTCAGCAAATTGAACTGGATGGAGTTTAGAATATAGATCGATGATGATCTGGGTAAAGGTCATGCGCTAAGTTTTGATCTATCAGTTGCTTTTTTTTTCCTTCAAGTCTAAAGAAATTTCGGGGATTTATTATAAATGCCAGTTAAGTTGCTAAATTTTTTTGTGATACGCCGATCAAGGTATATTTTCTTCTTGCATTCTTGTTGAGGAATGGAATCGGTTTCACACTTCAGCATAAGAATGAGTCTTCTTTGTTATCTTTTTTTAATTGATCTGCTTTTTTTGTTAATTCCAAATGTACGGGGACATATTTGATTCTTTGTCAACTTGCTTCACTTGTTTTTTTTTTTTGTCTTTTTTCCCTCCTATCTCGAACTGGAGTTCCTTTTCTTAGTCCTTCTACTTTAGGTCGTATGCAACAATGGATCTTTCATTAGCTTTAGTCCATATATACGTGTGTCTGTATATATATATTGCACTATGGTTAGCAATGCGGGTTGCCCTGATTTGGCTATTCTTTTGGGGTGCATAGGAAGGTGAAACCATCCGAATAAATGTGAAGCCTAAGCCATCGAGTGGAACTGGGATGTTATCAGCTGCGCTTTCTGGGAGTGGAAAGCCTAAAACTCTGGGACTTGCACCGCCACCAGTTGGAGCAGGAAAAATAAGATCTCCTCTTCCACCTCCTCCCAATGATCCAGCTGCTGCACGGATGACCTCTGCAAGTCTTAAGGCCCCAAAAGAAACCACAAGATATTCTAATGATCCACTAGATCTTTCTAAACTTGAGGTATTTCTCAAAACTTGTGGCTTTTATGCGTTAGGTTTATCGGCAAATTTGCACAACATATCTTTGCAGTTTTTCCAAATTTTGGTTGTCCTGTTGCCCCCTTCAAATGATTGCATGTCTTCTGGCCGCTGCTTCCTACTGCCTGGGTGCTTCAATAAAAATTAAATGAACAAAACAAAAGTGTATGGGTAGAATTCTAGTTTGAGAAAAGATGTCATGGAATTTTTATCATTACTGATACACGGCAAAAACCTTTTGCCGGAGACAAAATGGATGCAGTTAGATTCGTTTGTCAACATGTAGGTGCTGTTGAACATTGAGATAAAATCAATGCAGTTAGATCCATTTATCAACATGTAGGTGCTGTTGGACAAGTTAGTTTCAAACTTCTCCTAATTGCAGCTCAAGAGAACAAAATCTTTATTGTTTATTTTAGCACCCCTTCAAAGGAATAAGAAGTATATGATTATGAGCGAGCCCATGCAATGTATCACGACTATATTCCATATGTGCAGAATGCCACGACTGTATTCCATATGTGAGTTGATTAAGAACTTTGCATTCCTTTTCTCGGTTTCCTAGGTGCTCTTTCCAAACACAAATAGACTTCTGTGATGCCTTACTAGAATGAACTTTTGTATTGATAAACCTGAGAAAAGATATTCTTGGAGGAAATCTCTCTGGAATCCACGAAAATTGGGCTCATTGGCATAAGTAGAAGTTCCTATGGCGGATATGGTCCATGAAACCTTCCTTTGTTATAATCCATAAACAGGTTTCTTTTTAACCAAACTTAGATGCTCCCTTCAACAAAAGGGAAATATGCGGACAGTAGAAGCCAAAGTTAGAAATTTACAAGCCTAACTGCAAGTGGCTCTAAGTTTCCTGCCTTCTATTTTCTAATATTTTTATCTGTGCAACTAAATATCAGACTTGAAATTGCCTTCTCAATATGTTTGTTTGGTCCATGGTTCAGAGTTTTCTTTTTTCTCCTTAGAAATTTCCATCTGGCGACAGATGGTCATTTTTTATCTCATAGATAATTATATTTGAATTGATCCGAGAATCAGAAGCTTTCCAGATTTGCTTGAAGTGAAATGATCTGATAAAATCTTAAATATAATTTTTATTAGTTTTTGGCATATGTTAATCCTTATGAAAAACCGTATCTTGTGAATGCTAGATAAAATGTTAGATCTTCGCTGTGTCTAATGAATCGTTGATTATTGTGTGTTGACTCGCCATTTATGGCACCGTTGCTTGTGGGCATTTCTAGAGGAATCTTCCATCCGCTACTGGGTCAGGATCTGCAAAAACCACTGCGACTGCTGCATCAGGATGGGCTGCTTTTTGATTTTGTGAGCAATGTCTGAATATTTGAATATGAAATCCTTGTTTGATGTTTTCTTCAAAAAGAAAAAGAAAAGAAAGAGTGAGAAATTGTAAGAAAAGAGGTTACCATATTTGGAATGTTTCCCAGATCATGTTAACATGATGCTTCTTTTGTCTTACTGAAAACTTGTATTCTATTGTATGTTCTCATTCTATATATAATAGTGAAAAGGACGTTTGTCTTGTCAGTGACCATTTTGCATCTGTTCTTGCGCCGACTCCATTTGGCATTTGTCGAGCTTACAACTTTTGGCAAGATGCGACTCTTCCATTTACATTGAACAGAATTATTTCTAAAAAAAAAAAAAAAACTGTTTGCACCAAGATTAAATTTGTTTTATACAATAATGATTAGTTGAGTTAATTATCTTGAATTGCCTTAGAAGTATTTAAATATCAAATGAAATTAATATATTCATAAACATAAATTAAGATCTTGAATTGACAAGCAACGCCTTCAACCTGCTACCACTCAAAATTTAATGTGCAACACCACCAATTCTATTCTCACAGTAGCTGACTCAAGAACTATGTACTGATTGAGCCGTAGGCAGGAAAATATGCACACTAATCATTCTATAATAACGCACGGGTTAAAACCCTCTTCAAGGTTGATCGTGTATAACATCTACAATTGACAACCTACGAATCTTTAACTGTAAATAGAGAAAATGAGTTCTCTGAAAAAAAAAAAAAAAAAAAAAAAAAAATTGGATAAATATCAAATCTACTCCAGTCCTCTTTTCCTAACCCCAAAGCCTAACAAAAAAAATGGCCGGGACAATTAAAAAAGGTACTGAACTCTGCACAGAAGAAAATTTCCTTTCAGTGTGGTTTCTATTAAGAAAGTGCTACTAGTAAACCGCACCAAAAAAACAAAGTAGCAATGGAGGAACTTGTACCTTTGGCCTATAAAAGTGACTCCAGTGATGGAGGAAAGTAAAAAAAAAAACAAAATTTTGCTGTGATGGACCCTGGAGAAGCGTCTTCCAAACTATTCATATTGAATGAAAAAGAAATCAACTGCCCGATCGATCTAACCCATCCCCTTCACAATAGGCCATTCAGAACTCACTGTGCTCAATTTAAGTTAATCGTCCAAGTAATCTCGTTTCAGAACCCAAAATGATCCGTTTGGGCCTTTCTGCAATGTAGCTATTTCTTTCAAAAGATTCTTAAATAATGGCAGATCTTTCGAGGGTATTCTGTCCTTGAAATGCTGCACTATGCTTGCTGAATCAGTGCTTCCACCTCTTTGTTGGATAAATGAGCAGATCTGACGAATCAATACCTCAGGCTGAACTCCTGTCAACTGCTGTGAAGATCTCGAAGTTGCAATATCTGCAGACCTTGAGCCTGAACCAAACTGCTGTTCTAGCCCAGCTCCAATTGCTCTTTCTTGGTTTCCTCGAATTCTAGCAAGTAATTCTGCTGAAGATAATGCCTTACCTGCAGATGCTCCAGCAGCAAATCCATTTGGGATACCTGTTCTGTTGCTGGATGATTCATTTGACGTTTTGATTAATTGAGAGTTCATAGTTGCTCCAAACTTCTGACGAGCAGATGATGGTGCACCAGCACTTCCTGATTTCCCAGTCCATGTCGGGACAGATATACTGTCATGGCTTCGAAGCATTCGGGATTGGCGTAATGCTTCTGCTGCTCGATGTGCGACTTGGGAAGCTTGTTCTTCAAGCCTCATCTTTTCTTCATCATGGGCATTCATAATTGCATCATGATTCACAGCACTCTGAAGAAAAGAGACCAGAAACAACATTAGATGAATTGTAATCTGTCAACCTGTCCGTAACTGGAAATATGCACTTCTAGTAATCTTTCAATTATTAATAAAAGCAGTCACATCAGTCAACAGGGAGACAATAGTAGGGAGGTCAATAAAAGGGTGTATGTCTATATTTAATTTGCGTACAGATACAATTATTTTTTGTAATCCCAGCCAAACGTGGGCATAACATGAAGTTAAAATAAGACCCCAAAACACCACATCTTTTTGCTTTTTTGCAACCAAAAAATTACTGAAATCATTCCATTCTTACAGAAAAAAGTAAGGAAGACATAACAGACAATCTGTCAAAGAAAAGCATATATATTTAAACGAAATAGTAAAATAAACTACCCATCAATAAAAACAATGTGGATACAAGAAAACTTACATGTATCCCATGAGTATCAAAAAGACTCCTCAAAATGTTTGTTTCTTCATTGTCACCAGTGCTCTCATCAGCTTTTTCTTTCTCTCTGCTGCTAGATGGTCCAGCTTCTGCAACTTCATCCTCATGCACTGCAGAAGATTTGCAATGTTTTTGGCTGTCCTGCTTATCTTTCTGTACCCCGATGACATTGACATCCTCAGACAACTGACTGAAAATGTTAGAAGTTTCAGTTGCCCCAGTATCTCCATCATCATTCAGAGTGAAAAGATCTTTCATATCCCGGGCTTTGAAAAATCTTCTCTGTTGTGGGTTCTTCAGTATCTTATTGGTGAGGAAATGTTTGTATATTTGCCTGTGGTACACCTTCTCCTCAATAGTTCCACGAGTGATCAGTCTATATACAGCTACATCCTTTTTTTGTCCTATACGCCAGGCTCGCTCCCTTGCCTGCAATATATGAAATGCAGCCACAATTTGCATAATTCTTATAACTATGATGTGAAGGAAAATGACTGCCATGCATCCGAAATATATGCAGAACAAGAAAAACCAAGTCTGGTATCAGAGAATAGAGTAAAAATATAAACACACCTAAATATGTATGAAAAAGAATCATCAACCTCAAAAAAATACCTGCATGTCAGTTGAAGGGTTCCAGTCAGGATCAAAGATGATCACCCTGTTTGCACCGGTTAGATTTGTCCCCAAACCACCAACTTTTGTTGTTAGAATGAAGATAAATACATCAGTTGAGCTATTAAATTCATCAATTAAGGCCATCCTCTGTTTAATAGGAGTAAGACCATCCATTCTCCGATAAGTATAACCACTAGCAACCAAGAAATTCTCTAAAATATCTAGTATTTGTTGAGTTTGTGCGAAAAGAAGAGCTCGATGACCCTGCTCCTTCCAAACGCTAAGCACTTGTTCAACAACTTTCATCTTTCCACTACGTTTGGGATTTCCATAGTCTGGGTTCTGGTGAGAATGTTCTCTCTCAAGCAGATCAGGGTGATTGCATATCTTACGCATCACATCAATCCCATAAAGAGAATTTCTATTCCCATCCAAAATCTGTTCCACGTCAGAGCTAGCAAGAAACGCTCGATAGATGGACCGTTGTTCTGCAGTGAGGCTGCAGAAGAGGACATGCTCAGTCTTTTTGGGAAGTTGAGCATTCACATCAGCCTTCATTCGCCGAAGGAGATAAGGCATGATCAAGTCACGTAGAACAACAGCGCATCTGCATGATACCAAATTTAGGATCTTTAATGCTTATAAATGGCTGGAAACAATTTGATGATTTGAAAAATGATAAAGCAAGCTGAAATGCATCAATGTTAAAGCTCAAAGGTTAGGGTTGCATTAAGCATTCTTCCTCTTAGACCTACTATGAATTAGTAAGCTATCATGTTACACTCTAGTTTACATGGTGGGACAGGTTTTTAAGCAGAAGATAACACTCGTATAAATAACTCCTCAAATTTTATGATATATTGTGTGCACCTGTAGGCTGTTGACACTTGTAACGGTGAAGCATTTGCATAACCACCAACAGATATGGGGACTGCAAACTCTGCCTCAAACACAGGCAAGACCCCCAACTTTCCAGGGAAAACAAAATCAAACAAGGACCATAATTCAGAGAGCTTGTTCTGAATTGGGGCACCAGTCATTATTACTCGATGAACGGTCTGCAGCTGTTTGCAGACAAGAGTAATTTCAGCATTTGGATTTCGAATTCGGTGGCCTTCGTCCAAGACTGCATAACCCCATTCAATGTCGAGTAGTTTTCCTCCTAGCAAACGAAGTTGCTCATAAGTGGTAATGAGCAATCCAGACTCTGAGCTCAAAACTCGATTTATTAAGGAGTCCCATTTTTTGGTACTTTTAGATGGTAACTCTCCCTCATAATCACTGTCCCTTGAATCCTCACTATCATAATCACTTCCAGAAGATTTGGCTGACTTCTTCCTGTAACCAGAGTCCTGTGCAGAATCATGAAGTAACTCCACATGAAAGCTTGGGTACCATTTCCGTGCTTCCCTTTTCCATTGCCGCAGAAGTGTAACAGGGCAGACAACAATGCTTGGTTTGTACATTTTACTGAAGTGCAAAGCTCCAAGGAAAGATAGGACCTGGATGGTCTTACCAAGGCCCATTTCATCTCCAATAATGCCACCTGCCCTTTGACAATGCAGTTCCCATAACCACTGAACACCCACCTTTTGATAGTCAAAAAGTTTGCCAATTATACTGTCTGGTATTTTTAATCCGCCTTCAAGCATTACAAAATCTGCACTGTCAACATTCTCTTGCTGATCTTCCTCGCAACTAGAAGTGACCAAGTTGCCCTTCCCATCTTCTGCAACATCATTATAAACTTGGATATGAAAAACAAAATTTTATCAGAAAAACATGTAAAACTTAAATAACTATTTACAAGTGTCTTGTAATTAAATGCATTTGGATAAAATTAACCACTCAAATGAAAAAGATCTTCTTAGGAACTTCAATCAGGAAATAAACGTTACAAAATCTCATTGTAATAGATGTCTCATTGTTGTACCTTGGCAGAATTCATCCTTAAAATGGGCTGCCAAATATTCTACGGCAAATATTATGGCTATTGTCAAATGAATGCTAGAAATACAGATCTTCAAATACAAAATGCAGAAAAGATGATTTGGAACATAACACCTTACACCTCAGCATCAACGTATTTCAACTCAATGGAAATTATGGACAAAATGAAAGCTCTAAAGCATGATCAGAACAACAACAAACTCCATGTTTGCATCATTTTTCCTCCTGAATCTACAAGACACGATGAACAAAGAAATTTAAAATCTCAGTGAAGCTGAGGAAAACCTCACACATTAACAGATAGAAGATACAGTCATATCCTTGTACGATCAAATCCAATATTTGAAATAAAGCAACCAATTTTCACTGTATAACTAACCAGAATAGCCTGATAACCTAAGAAAAATATCAGCTAGAAACATACCAATTTCTTCCATATCATTTTCCTCCCGAGAAATACGCTCTCTCCATTTCTTCTCAGGCAAAGGTCGCTTCTTTTTACCCTTTGAACCTTTCCTCTTCTCTGGATCACTTTCCTGAGAATCAGAAACCTTCATGGGTTTCTTTAGCCTCTGGAAAGGGAATGTGGGAGCATCAAGCCTTGGCAAAACATCTTGATCAAGTAACTTGGTTGTGGGGCGTGCTTGTGCAGCCTCTGACATAGCTTGGACAACTTTGGCAATACTTGAAGACGCCATATCATCCCCCTCATCTTCTTTCTTGGGTATACTGTTCTGATTAGTTGGCCTTCGTTGTTGAACTCGGCGTTCAAAGCCCTTAAGTCTATGAAAAGGAGTTAAAACTCCTTTCCGAATTAACTCATCCCTTTTCTGAAACATGAATCGCATAAACTCAAAAACCATGCCTTCTTTTCCCCTTTAAGAGCAAGGGTGAGTACAAGAATATTAAATATTCGTTAACAATAAATGATTGACACTCAAACTACAAAACATTAAAAAAAATGGTATGATCAATAGGTGCCATATCATACAAATAAGTTACTGGAGGTAAAAATTTAAAAGATACATTCAACTCACTGTTTCAACAAATCCTGCAGATGCTGCATCCAAGACAGCATCAAAATCTGCATCATGATCAAATGAAATTGTTTTCTGCCGCTTTTCTTTATTTTTGCTTGGCTTCTGAGGTTCTTTTGCTTTTCTTTTGTGTCTAGGCTCTTCCTTCACCAAATTTCTTATCAGTTTATCATGCTCAATACCCTTTGAAGCACTGTTACCCAGACCTGACAGTTTTTTTTCAATTTCAGCCTTAGTTCTCTTAAGACTTCTTAGTCGGTCAGCCGCTAGGGCATGCTGCAGAGTTAAATCATTGCAAGATGCCTGAAGAGCATGTTCATCATCCTCTCTGTAATTTTTGTGAATGCCGTCGCCAGCATGGTCATCATTGCTTGAAGCATCTCTACATTGGTCAACAGTAGATACAACAGCATCTATTTCAAATTTTACAGCCCTTAATTTTTTCAAAAGTTTTGCTTGGCTAGTAGAGGATGGATCATCGCTTTCTAAATTGTTAAGAGATTCCACATCAGCATTTCCATCCACCTGACTATTATTCTCCACATTGTTTTTTGCCTGCCAATCAACAATGTCAACTATGAGCCTGTAAAATATTGATGAAAGATCAAATTCCCATCAAATCTCAGAAATAGAGCTAAATCATCTCTCATGTTTATGCCAACATCTTTTGAAGCTAAGCTACAGACCACAGTGCAGATCCACTACCAAAGAAGCTGTGTGGAAACTGAAAATTCCCTAGGCAATTACTAACAGGAAAAAAAGGAAAAGAAAATATGAGTGATACCTTTGCTAGTATATCCCGTTCTATATCTTCAGGGTTCGCAGATGTCACCCCTAAACTACTAAGCCAAGCTCTATCCTCTTCTTCCTCCATGGAATCACATCAATCATTCTTCATCATAACAAAAGCCACCTATAAGTAACAAAGCCCGTCATCTTCACACTTATACCTGCTTGTTAAAGGAGCTCGGATATAACAATGAAAATTAAAAAAAAAAAAAAAAACTATTACTGATTCAAGTACATAGGCAAATTAAGACACAGAACTTAGATTTTTAGCATAATCAGTACGAAACTCTTCCCAACCACTAATGGGCTGAAACCTCACTCACAACAGTGACGGAGGTAAAACACAGAACCTCAAAACCAAGTTTAAGTACATTAGCTCTAAACTAGCATCAAATCTCGCATGTAATCATTACAAAACAAATAATTATAGAACTCCGCGTTATTAGTGAAAATACATGCATTCTAAAATAAATTTAAGATCAAGTAAATGAAAATTACCCTTCTACTTCATGAGATTAGAGGAGCTAACTAAACCTTAACAACATACTTCGTTGCAAGCTTTTCTTTACATAAATAAATATTACTCTACATATGGCAGAGATAGGAGACGAAGGGAAAAAATCAATTGATTTCGAGAATAAAGAATTAGCAAACTGACCTCGAGCTTGTAATTCGAAAATCTCTAAAGATTCATCGGAGTCCAATTCGCATTCTTTTTCATCTAATTACCAAAAAAAATCGTTGATTTAATCAACATAAACACTTAGATTCGTGGACTAATCAAAGTCTAAAGCACCCGACTCCTTTTCAGAATTTATTTCGATTTTTTCGTTTGTTTCCGGTAAACAATCTCCCGGTCGAAATCAGGATTCACAACGACGACGGTCGTTTGGAGAACAGAAAAGGTTTCCTATTGGCTGCGACTTGCTAAAATGAGCCGACGCCTACGTTAATTAACGTACGCCTCTATATATGATACGTCAATTGAATGGCTTATCATGAGCGACCGCTTCCTTGATAACCACACTAGTAGTCTTGCTTGCTCTGCAGGGAAAAAATAAAAAAATTTAAAAAAAGAGGATGGCCCCACAAAGTCGTAAACGACGCAATCCCGGTGCCGTTTGGCTGGGAACCTTTTAAGTTCAATAACTACTAACGAAGGGCCAACGTGGCTCCTCGAATATTTCACCACGTGTGCGGTGTTCATACGCCCAACAAAGCGACCACCAACTCTGACACGTGGCAACATACCTTTGGCTGCGGGTCGTGCATATTAGAGTGACTGGAGACGACGCCGTTTCCTCTGTGCTGCTACACTTTTGCATAGCCAATTAGCCAAAATGGCGGAGAGAGGTAAGGCACCTGGAGAGTTTGAAGGAAATGAGGAGTCGATCCGAGTACGAGGAATGCAGTTTGCATACGACGGACAGGCTCCTCTCTTCGTCGATTTTAACCTCGATATTGCCCCTGGATCTCGCTGTCTTCTTGTGGGCGCCAATGGATCTGGTAAACTTATCACCTTTTCGGTTTTCCTTCTCTGACCTTTTTCTGCTTAATTTTTATCCCGGTTACTCTTTAAAGACTAACAAACCCTTGGGCCTGGGTATGGAACATCATTTCTTGCTTTTTTTTCCTCCTTTTGGTGGGTTATCTTCAGTTAAGAGTTATCTTTTTTAAAGCTGATTTTGCTTCTTGAATTATCGGTTTCAGCTTGTGATTTGTGCTTTGACTTTCTGCAATTACACTTTAATGGAATTGGTTTGTTATTCAGTTGTTAACTAATGAGGTACTTTTACCAGAGTAGATAGTGATTTCTAATACCATATCATTCTAGCTTGGTCTAATAAGTTACATGTAGAAAATATTTTAGTACACATGATTTGGAATCATTTACATGTGAAATGCATAAAGAAGATACAGAAACTGTTCAGAAACGTGCTTACAAGAAGCTTTTGTGAAAAGTTAAAGATGCGAGCATAGCTTTTCCATTTCCAACAAGTTTTTGAATTTAACTTATCCTACTACATAATCTCCATTGCTCTGCATATTATTGCACTTTGCAATATCCTGATTGTGCTTGGCAATACCAAAAAGCAAAACAAACTGATCTGCCATAAATAATGGATGTATGCCAACATTTAGATCTCAATGTTGATCCTGATAAAACCAAGTTGCATCATCTGGACATTTGGGAGAGATTGGCAAAGAAGGGGAAGAGGGGGAAAGACAGAAGGAAGTTAGGGAATAAGCATAGAGGAGAGAATTGAATCATTGTTATTCATTCATCTGTTTGATCTGTACATCTACATATAGCATTTATACATGGTTCTGTAACTAATTAGAGTCAGTTATACAGGTTTTAAGATTACTTCACTACTTAACTAGTTTCCTATTTCCCATTCCACTAAGTCCCCTCTCTGTATGATCACCTTGTCCTCAAGGTGAGATCACTTCACACAGAAATATACTCAATGGAACTCTTAAAGCTACAATCTCAGAAGCCTTGCATCTCCAAAAATCTTGACTTTAGTAATGAGATTGGAATTGAAACAACTGAAGATGCTTTCCCCTATTTTTTCTTGCAAAACCACTGCAGATTTGGAACTTGGATAGATCGAACATCAGCATATCCTGTCAATAAATGAGCTATCCAAGAGAGGTTGGAGTGACATTTGAAAGCAAGAGGTTCTTTGCTTTGCTACATTACCATTTAGAATATCACCTAGTTGCTTTGCACTGACAAGGACAAAGTCCTCAAGATTTCTTTCCTTGTAAATCTTTTAATTATTGCAGGGATCCAAGAAAGCATGATCCTTAGCGGTAGCAAGCTGAAACAATCCTTTAGCTGAGTGAGAACTCCTAATATCAATTGTTGTTTTCGGATCTTGATAGTTGATTCAAGGATATTATTGTCAATGTGGAGCACTTCTCTAGGATGATCTTGAATCAAATCAGCCAAAATTTCTTGTTCAGTTTTGTCAAAGGATACTCTTGTCTTTGAAATGCTTCCTATAAGTCTTCATTGTTAAGAAAATCACCCCGAGGACCTAAAGAATCAACATTTTCTCCAAAAATCTCCAAAACTTTCTTATCATTTTTCTCCATCTCATCCAAATTTTGCAACATTTCTTCAAAGATATGTTGTTAGTGACTACCCAGAGTGCCTTGGAGGCCTTGTGATAAGAGAAAAATTCACCATTCTTGATCACGTCCTGTATTTCTTAATCATGTTCTTTATGATTGTCACTCACTGTCTTCTGTTAGGAACAAAATAGTTCCTTTCCCGCTTGTTTACCAAAGAGGGAACAAACTAATAATTCTGTGTAATTGCTTATATTTATGTGTAGTAGTGTTAATATGGTAGTGTAATAATTATGGAAAATAAGTGTTAAGTGTGTATTAGGGTAAGAATAAATCTTTTTTAAGACAAGGGCAGTTTAGGTAATTCAGAAAAACTAATTCCAGAATTAACTGCTCCTCCTAGTACATATCAGCTGCTGCAGGAAAAAAAAACAGAATCATGTCTGAAATTTGATATTAAGGAGAGTAGATTTCTCTTCAGAGATTGTAAAATTCTTTATAATCAACAAGCTCTAATTATTTTTGTTTAATTCTAAAGATAGATAAAGGCAGAAATTGAAAAAACATGATATATATATACTGGATTTTGTTTTGAATCGTCCCATAAAGCAATCCGTCAATAGGGATCTTCCAGGCTTTTGTGTCTGGGATCATATTCTTGATGAATGGTGAAGGGAGTTTATAGACTTCAAGATACTGGTGGAAGGAAGAACCACGAAGGTATAGAGATGGAGACTAGAGAAGAGAAGAGAAAGAGAGAGAGAGAGAGAGAGAGAGAGTCAAAAGGGAGAGATAGAGAAGAACAAGGACAGAAGAGAGATAAATTGAGTTATAAGAATCTAGAAGAGAGATGTAGAGAAGAATAAAGAAGAATTTTGAGAGAGAAAGAGAGAGAGAGATCAGAAAGAGGAGAAAAACTCATTATTCTTGGAGGCTTGGAATCAGAAAGAAGATGGAGACTAGAGAAGAGGAGAGAAAGAGAGAGAGAGAGAGAGAGAGAGAGTCAAAAGGGAGAGATAGAGAAGAACAAGGACAGAAGAGAGATAAATTGAGTTATAAGAATCTAGAAGAGAGATGTAGAGAAGAATAAAGAAGAATTTTGAGAGAGAAAGAGAGAGAGAGATCAGAAAGAGGAGAAAAACTCATTGTTCTTGGAGGCTTGGAATCAGAAAGAAGCTCAATTGTCACTTGATACAACTGATTTGTTTTTGCTGGACATCCATAGAGAGATTGATAGAGAAGAAAGGAAAGGGCAGGAGGGAAGGAAGGTTAGGCAGATTAAGTATAGAAGAGAGAATAGAATCAACGTTATTCATTCATCTGTTTGATTAGTTCATCTAGATATTGAATTTATACATTGATCTCTAACCAATTAGAGCCTCTTATGACTGATTTTGAGACTATTTAACTACTTAAGTAGTTTACCATATCCTGTTGTATCGGATGCTTAGCTTAAAATGTGCCTTTTCCTTGGACATATTTGTTGTGAAAACAATCTGTTGCTTCTTGCCTCATTTTAGTCATATTCTGCAGGGAAGACCACATTGTTGAAGATTCTGGCTGGAAAGCATATGGTTGGCGGAAAAGATGTAGTGCAAGTACTAAACCATTCAGCTTTTCATGATACTCAACTCGTTTGTAGTGGCGATTTGGCATATCTGGGAGGATCCTGGAGTAGAACTGTTGGCTCTGCTGTGAGTTGCTAGATCTACTTTTCTTTTCCTTTTGTTTTTTTTTTCTTCCTGTTAGTCTGAAATGTCAGTAATCACATTGATCAAATATGAATATTGGTGGGATATTATCTCTTCATTATTTACCTGAAGAAACTAAGGTCCAAACCTTTTTTTTTTTTATGTATGACTGTGAATGTTCTAAAAACTTCATAGTCGAACTCATGTTTCTAGTAAATGAGTTGACGTGAATGTCATAAACAGGTGCTTTTTAAAGTGTCTATTCACCAATTTATGATTCATTGTAAGAAACTGTACTTCTGTTTTTTTTATTTGGGTTTTCATCTTAAACTCCTAGCCATAGTTTAGTTGGCCGAGTCTAGAATGAAGCAAAAATTTTAGATATCAAAGTCATTCTTCAATTGACTGGTGCTTATCTTCCCCGTGACTTTTAGATTGTTAACATATTCTGAATAAATTACAGGGAGAGATTCCACTCCAGGGAGATTTCTCTGCAGAACATATGATATATGGAGGTAATTAATTTAGCTCTTCTGTTGTTTCTTTCCTTTCTTCCCAGTATGACTGTTAATGTATATCTGTATTCATAAATTGGAAGGGGATCAATATAATTATCTCTGCAATAAAAACCCTAGGAAAAAGCAGAGGCAAACAGTTTCCTTAGCAAAAGATGATGATGCAAGAGGGGAACACAATTGTTCTTGGTAGCTTTGTTAGGGTTTCTGTTTAGCAACTTGTTAGATTTATTTTTTTAACTGGAATCTGCAATGTATTTTCATTAGGTTTTTTACATAAATTTTCTCCTGTTCTAAGTCATATTGCATGGTTATACTTTGGAAGGTTGGTAGGGAAGTGGGGTTTTGAAAATTATTTACCCACTTTCTTGTTTGAACTCAGCAGATCACACTTGTTCATTTACTTGCAGTTGAAGGGATTGATCCTGCTAGGAGAGAGAAGTTGATTGAGCTTCTTGATATTGATCTTCAGTGGCGAATGCATAAGGTATCTGATGGACAGCGCCGTCGAGTCCAAATTTGCATGGGCCTCCTCCATCCATTTCAGGTATTATGCAGTATGTTTGCTCTAGGGCACAGACAAATTTGTCACCAGACCTGCGATACTAGGCTGCACTGAGATGGGTTCCTAGTTAGTTAATTTTTCATCCTTTATCTGCTTATGTGGCTTTGGAGGGACTTGGACAGTTGCAAGTAGTCTGAGTATGATTGGAACCCAAGCTAACCAAAAGATTCCAGCCAGTCTTAGACGTTTAATGACTCTTCATTTTTTTTTCCTTCTTATGTTGAAGATATCTTGATCCAGTATCTGAACTTTTAAAAGAAACTAGAAAACGTTGCTGGTTTATTACAGGTTTTGCTTCTAGACGAGGTTACTGTTGATCTAGATATTGTTGCTAGAATGGATTTGCTTGATTTCTTCGAAGAAGAATGTGACCAGGTATTTACTTGTTTCATCCATCAGCTAGACCCACATGTACATTCTCAGAGAAAAAGCCTTAAGAGTTGTCAATCTATGTTTCTACTAATGTTGTGACTCTTACAGAGAGGAGCTACTATTGTATATGCAACCCATATTTTTGATGGGCTGGAGACATGGGCTACACATCTGGCATACATCCAAGATGGTGACTTGAGGAGGGTAGAGAAGTTGACTGAACTTGATGAGTTGAAAAGCTCTGCTAATCTGCTTTCTGTTGTTGAGTCCTGGCTCCGTCATGAAACCAAGCGTGAGAAAAAGAAGTCTATCAAATCGCCTACACAGATTCAGAAGTCCTTACATCATGGTACTTCTCCTTTCATGTCATCTAGACACATGGCATACTACCGTTGATTCCTCTACAGCCTTTTTCTTTTGCGAGACTTAACTCATACTCTCTTCTTAAAAAAGGATTCATAGCCTAAAATGCAAGAGAAAGAGGAAACTTTTATAGCTGGTCAGTCATTTTTGGTGAATACTTGTATAGTTGTTTCAAGAAACAACAAAACATTAACATATAAGAAAGAGAATAACACCAAATTCTAGCTCTTTGCTTTGTTTTGTTACACGATGATAATCCGCCATTGGTTAGTGATATTATAATGAATAATTGTATCTTTATACAGAGCTTTTTTTTTTTTGTGGTTTAGCTGTGACAGAATTTAGTGGACAAATCTGATTTCTCTTGCTGCATTTTCATTTTCTTTCTGGGGGAATAATTTCAATTACCCAATTTAAACACAAAGCAATGCATGTTTCAGCCATAAGCTGCTCTATTCTCCATCTTTCTGTTCCCAAGTTGAAACACCTGAAAAGGAAAAGACTACACAATTGTTTCCATTGCATGGATTTTGACTTTTTGAAAGACTGTTTCTATCTACTTTCACCTTGCTCAACCCTGAAAACTGAGGCATGTTTGGATTGCCTGACTTCTTTATGAAACACTAGGTAGTTGATGGATAGGACTAAGGTTTTTGAATCCTTTTATTCTCTTTATCTTACCTTATCTGCAGATGCAAAACTTTTAGTTAAAGCCAAAAAATGGGTAATTTGAGCTTGACTACAAAAACAAGAAAAGAAAAATATCTGCATCATTTACAATTCCTGGTAGTACTTCCATCTAATCATAAGAAAACATTGTAATTGCTTAAACATCTGGAGTTTGGTAGAGGTAGTTAATGCTTTTGCTGAAAATTTAAACTATAGTATATATAATTGTAAAGGTTGTGCAGTAGAAATGATTCTGATGGTGAGTGAAGCATCCTAGAGATTAGGTACTAAAGACTGCTATTACAAGCATACGTGTGCTTATGATTTGACAATTGATAGCTATGGTTTTTCAAACTTCCTATACAACCACCCCATCAACAGTAACACCTCCAGTTATACAAGAATTCTAGAATGATGTCATCCCCACCTTCTCCACCCATAGCATCATATAGGACTTGGTAGAACTAACCCAAAAGTGGACCACAACCATTAAGGAAGTGTTTTGTTAATTTTTTGTTATAATTTTATGTTTGTCTTAATATGCATAACTAGAACACGATCTATTATGTTAAATCCTTCCCCCGCCCTGTTTAGACTTTCTTAAACATCTTTTTAAAGTTACTTTAAATTTCCACCATTAAGGAATTCAAAGTTGAGGTACTGATAGATCAACCTCAGCAAATTATATTTTAATTATGCGTATTAAGACTTATATGATACTTAGAATCAAGAATTGAATGGAAGTTATACTAAGTGCAGTCTCAGCACTTCTGAGTAAGAATTTTAGGTTACAACATATTTAACGAGAAATCTCCATTTATGAGTGGACAGCCTGAGTATAGCTTTGATTAAAGGGTCTAAGTCTTTTAAGCTTGAAATGTAGATTTAAGTTTAATGATATGATAATAATGGATTTGTTCTAGGAATTGATATCAGTTAGTTGTGGGGTAGTATCTAATGGAAGAAGGTGATGAAAAAGCAATAGTTAATGTCTTGGAGAAAGTCATCTCTGTTTCTGATGTTAACTAGGAGTAGGGATGGTCCCATCACCATGTCCTTATTGCAAGAAACTCTAAAGATTGCTTTTTGTTGGATGAAGTAAATTCAGAAACTTATTAGCTGAAATTTCTTGATGAAAGAAAGAAAAAGAACTTTTAGATGGGTGTTAAGAAAAGAGAAATTAGTAATGTGCTTATGGGATGGCATGGACTTCTCTGCGTTTTAGTGGTTGACCAACCCATTAATATGGAATCATAGTTTTTCTAAGGGATCATGACAAAATTGTTAGATCAGGTAAAAGAATTTTGCAATTAATACCATTTGATAAGGTACTCTAAAAAAATTCAACTCTAAATTGATTAGAACTAAGAAAATTTTTTATTAGCCTGAAATTTCAAAATAATTAATTTTAATTATTCTTAACACAAATTAATTACTTTTTATAAATCGGATTACCATGTATTAATAGTCATTTTAACACAAAATGTAATAATAGTAGGAGCTTTTTTAAGCAAATAAAATTTGTGGGCCAAAACTAAAAACACTTAAAAATAATTAATTATTTATTTAAAAATAGTAATTAAGAGAAAGGTAATACACAGTTTATATGTTGCTAAAAGGGTGTCGTAAATTTTAAAAAAAAATTGTATTATATGTATTTTTTATTATATAAAATGGAAATAAAAATATAATATAATAAAATTTAAATTTAAATAAAATCTAGAAAAAATTTCTGCATGAATTTTTGGTTACACCACGCAGCCGGATATTATGCAGCTTGTATCTGGCAACTATGAAGTTGACTTTCAAGAAAAGATCATTACACTGAATCTAATTTTGTTTAATAAGTTAATTTCCTAATAAGATAACTCATTTGAAGTTTCTTAATGAAAAAATAAGAAACTCAAATCCCTTCTACTTTACAATGTCGGCATTTAAACTCTCCACATTGATCAAGCGGAAAATCTCGAATCGTTCGTACTTTACCTGGTGTATTACCTCAGCCCATGCGATGTGAGGGTAACGTGGTTGTAGGAAATTGAAGGTGTTGAAATTTGAACATACGGAAATTAGTAAACAGTGGTTAGCGGCGTTGTCTGATTTCCCAGCCCTTGAATCTCTGCAAATCCGCGATTGCGGCACCCATCCCAGATTGAAGTTATCAAATCATCGCCTTAAACATCTCGAACTTTACACCTCAGTTCCTTATACCTCTGGCTCTTTTCTCTGACGACTCCATTAATCTAAACTCATTCACATCAACCGTCCAAATTGCAAAGTTCGTGTCGACTTATTCCCGGCTGGAAAGTCGTGCAAAAACTTTGAATTTGCACATCATGACCTGGAGCCCCGAGGTTTGTTTTTATTTATATTTATTTAATCCGTATTTATTTTTGTATTTAAAAACTATTTAATTTATTAAAATATTTTTATCTTTTTTTGGAGGTTAAATTTCTTGTAGAAGATATAACAGAAAAACTCAATTTTCAAGGCAAATTTTTGAAGCACGTGCAATTAAGCATAATAGATCTTACGAAATTAATAAGTTATAAAAATTTCGTAGATGAATTGATTCGGGCGATTCGATTTCAAATTTTATCAATCAAAATTCGTTTAGAACTCTTGCAAGAAAACTTTAAATCTATTAAAAACATTCAATTAATAAAGATACATAAAATTCAACTATATGAATATATATACACATTCTTATATACTCATCTTATTAAATATTTAAAATTAAATTGACTAATAAAATTTGTAATTGAATTGTACCATAAAGGTGTTATACAAAAAATTAACGAATATAATAAAAGAACCGTATTACGCGTTAAATGAGAATAAATGTCGGTGACATTATTTTAAAAGCGTAGAAGTTGTATAGGGAGAAAGCGAGAGTTGTGATTGCAAAAGATTATTAGAGTTATTGTATAATTTTCTGCTCCAAGATTATTATCGTACCATTAGGTTTAAATTCAATTGTTAGTGAATTTTATTTTTTTTTTATATTGTAAATATATTTTTAGTTTTTTTTTTATAATTATGAATATTTTAACATATGTATTTATTTTTTTAAAGATGGAATTGACATATATATTGAAAATTATAGTGATTTTTTTTATCTAACAAGTTTTATTATGATTAAAAATTTTATTAAATAATTTTTTTATTCTTTTTTTATATTACAACATTATATAATATTGTTAAATGCTAGTTTCTCTTGAAGTAAAAAGGTGAAACGCCATGGCTTCCAATACGAGGGGAACAGAGTAACCCCGAGGTTCGAAGTAAAACTCAACGCTACTGTTTGGCCACTGAGAAAAGAGGGGAAACTAGCGAATATCTGTAAATGGAGGAGACGCTCAAGTGTTTGGCATTGTTAGTAGCTGGAGCTCTTCTCGACGCCGTTTCAACAGTCGCTCTTCTAAAGCTTCTTCCAGGGTAGGTTATTTCTCCTTACTGTGGATGATTGCAATCTCCTTGTTTCATTTTAGCATTCCTGAGAGGAAACAGAAAGGAAGAAAGATGACTGTAGTTCTTCTTTTACTCTAATAGGGGTTCAATGACTTATTGAACTTCTGGTTTTTGTTTCTATTTTTCTTTTCGGAAATTCCAAGTGTTCTGAACTTTCAAGCCAAACCTATTGGCTTGTGTTAACCAATCACAGGAGACAAGGTGCTTTATCGTGCTATGTGTTTTTTGTTTTTGCAGAAGGGTCCTGAGGCCACATGATAGACATTCCGTAGAATTGAACGGTGAGTTCTTTAATGACCTAATTACTGGACTGCGGTTAAGCCATGGAAAGAACTGAAACCCTATTCTTTTGCACCATGAATACTGCATCTGGTATTTCTGTAGGTTCTTCAATAATCACTTTAATGTTTATATGAAAGTAGGGTTTGACAGTGCAATAGCACGTTTCAAGTCACCCCTCAATTTCACATTCTTGTTAAATCAGCTTGTTTGGTCCTATGGAACTTTGTCGAAATCTATTTAGTAGTAATTGAATTTTATCTTCTGAAATTAGTATTGTTAAGCACAGGAGCCCACTACACTCTAAAAAGAAATATTTGAGGGTTATCTTGTTAATTATCTATACCTACTAATGAAATTTTTAATATTTTATGAAAATAATCTTTTGTTTGTTGAGTTATAATGTCGTTGTAGAAATATGAATTGATGGAACTTGACATATTATTTATAGTTTACTAAAATATGAAGGTAATACAATGCTTTTTTTTTTGTGGGTAGAAGGGTGCTTGAGCCTCCCCTCATTGCTATTGAATGACTTAGGATGTTAAAAGATTTATGTGTTAGGTTCGGTGATAGCAACGGTTACCCGTTGATTAAGATCGTTCCTTGATGATCTAGTTCAGCCAATCTTCAATCTTGGATGAACTCAACAACATTGAGCATATCAAACTCAACACATTTGAATTACACCAAAAGAAAGAATTATGAAAATTTTCTAAGCAACCCAACCCAACCTATTTGAACCCAACAACAGTAGTATATCAAACCTACCACCTTTAAATCACAAAAAGGTAGAAAATTGAAGTACTGTTACCCACCCATAATCTAATGAACCCAACAATATAGTATATTAACCTATCACCTTTGAATTACAGA